TACAAAGACAAATGGGAATGAAGTGAAGAATAAGAATACCAAAGCTTACACCATGTTGCATTGTCCTCCAGATAGTCCTCTGGGAAGCAAGAGGGAAACAGATTCAGGGAACAGAAAAACAAAACAAAACAAAACAAAATAAACCACAGGTTATACCAAACAGGCAACCACAGAGAAGATAATGAGTCTTTATAAGCAGTTGATTTTAAATGAGAAACTTTAGATCATGCTCTACAGAAGCAGGTGTTAAAATTATTCAATTTTTGACAATTTTTAAAATTTACTTGTGTAACAGGTGTACTTGCTAGATGCTTGGACTAAGATTGTCACCTTTTGACACTTAGTTCTGGAGGGATAAGGAAAGATTTCTCTGAGCTGTTCAAATATATACTTTAGGATGAGATGAATTGTTCTTTAGAAATATGTGATCTCAAATCAGTTGCCTAAACCCATGCTTAGATAATTGAGCTAAGGCCTTTATTTCTCTCTGTTAACATTAAAAATGACAGTCATCTTGGACTGAAATCAAGGTAGCTGGTTCTAGGTATCTGCACTATGGATTTTTATACTGAATAAGTCCTCATTTTTGCTACTGTTGCAGTCAGTATGATGTGGAATACAGTTATTGAAATGTAGGCAGAGCAAGTCAATTTAGCACCTCTGAGATATTCCATTTAACTTCCAACCAGGTCTCCTGTAACCTTGCTTTCACCTTTGGACGTCTTGAAGAGCACAGGCAGCTCAAAGAGCATTAGGTGACTATATTTATGTAGCTGAATTTCACATGGTGCAACCTGCAGAGAACAGCTGGGGCTCAGTTATGTTCTCCCACTTGGATGCCTCACAGTGACATCCTCTAGGGTGTTCTATCCAGACTTCAGATGCCAGTCCAGGGGAGCTTAAGCATCTCAAATTACTGTTCTATCTTCCAGCTCAGTTAGATGACTTAAATACTCCAAGGCATTTCAGTCTTGTCTATCTACATGTGGATGTTCCAATTGAGTCTTTTATTTCCCTCTCTATGAGAGATGTCTGTGACAGATGGGGTGAATCACTCTCCAAAGATGTGTGTCTCTCTCCATTGGCTTCAGAAAGAGCCTGACTTTTAGGCCCAGTGCTGCGAAGATGTCATTGAAGTGTCTGAGCATGCGTGTCTTGAATTGCTTGAGCTTCTGTAGTATACTCAAGCCAGCTCCCCTCTGCTGCTCCAGAAGTGTACTGGTCTCCTTGAGTCCTCTGCTGGTCCCATATTTCAGATACTCTAGGATGTCTCAGATGGTGCTTTTCATCCATGCTTAGACAAGTCTCTCAAGCTCCACATAGCTTCCTAAATACATCAGATGCTTTAAAACCACATAAGCTTTTGGGGGTGTCCTAGGGTGAGGTTATGATGCTTGTATCCCCAATTGTGTGTTCTGTTACTGCTGGATATTATGCACTGTGCCGTCAAGACTGGCTCTGAAGAGCAAGGTTTGTTTTGGTTTGTTGTCAGCCTGCTCCCCCACAGCTGGCAGGACAGAGACAGGACAGTACATAGTGCAGCTTTTGCTTTTTGCTTGGCTTTTTGCTGCTTTGCTTTGCTCTTGCTCCTGCTTCTCTCCTGCTTTGCTCCCGCTCTGCTTTTGCTTCTTGCTTCTGTTAGTTTAGCTAAGCGGTCCAGATTTTTCCCTGGACTGTTTTTTTCCCTTCCCTTTTTGGAACCATTCAAACCTGCTCTGAACTGGGACCTGGGAACGCTGAGAGTTTACATCTTGTGGCTGCAGCAGCTATCCCCAGTGCCGGAGGGAGCAACAACAGAGGGACCACTCCCAGGAAAGACTTTCTGAATTTGTCATCCTTTTCAGATCGGTGAAAGTGTTGTCATCTGGTATTGTTAATTTTGTGTGCTGGGGGTGTTTTGCTTGTTAAATAAACAGGTTCTTTCCACTTCTCTCTGAGCAATCCTTCCCGAACTGGTAGGGGAAAGGGGCTGTGTGGGTTTGCTTTCTGGGGGGGCCCCCTTTGGAGGTTTTCTCCCAGATTTGCCCTAAGCCAGGACAGGGGGATATTTAGATTTTTCCACATTTCTTAGAATTAATTTTGATCTATTTCTTATTTGTTAAGCCTTACTTGTTACAGCTATGGCAATAACACAGAGAAATCACTTTCCCTCCTTTTGAAGTGGAATATCTGGATTAATAGCATGAGCTCAGGCAAGGATGAAGGAGCACTTTCTCAGATGTGCTCAGTACCTGGTGATTTCAGCACAGGCTTCTTATGAGGGCTTTGTGCAACATACCTGATAAAATATGCACAACTGAATTAAGCTTATAAGTGCAGATAGCAGCAGGACTAAAACAGAATTCAGTTCAGATATGCTGCATGTTTGTATAACACTGAGATGCAGAGGAAATATTTTCTAAATTTGGTTTCTTCTGCTGTCAAAGACAGATAAAAGCAGAATGGTTTGTCACTTCTTTTGAGGTTTTTTTAATGTATGTTTGGACTTTGTGGTGACAGTTTAAAGTCAAGTGGTCTGACAGTGTTTCATGAATACACACTCAAGAACAGACTTCTAAAAGCATTAATGTAACACTGAACAGTCTTCTGAATCACAAGAAAAGACTAGTTTCTTATACCCATAATAATCAAAATGGTCTCGAGTGTTTGAAAATACCAACAAAATACTAATATTGCAGTGTATTTATATGAAGTAAGCAACAGAAAATGATCAGTGTGTAGACAAGAAAACTGCTGTGCATGTTACACCCTGTTGACAATGCAAGGGTTAGGAGTATCCAAATGAAGTTGGTTCTCCAAGCTATGGCTACAGTTCATGAAGAGAGATGTCATTCAGGGAATGATTCAGCACATGGAAAGCTGAGGTTCCAGCACAGGTTAAATGGTGTTTCTGTGAGGCAGGAGTGTAGTATTTATATCCTTCTGGATAAAATTACCTAAGATGGTGTGAGATGCGGGCAGTGACCTTTCCCAAGAGCTGCTAAGGGATTACAGCTCTGAAATAAGGCCGTCTGCTCTAATCCACATAAACTACCTTTCCTAGCTCTACTGAGATCAGCAGCCATCTCTGAATTGAGAGATGGCTGGTCCCAGCCCAGAAGGAGACAACACGTTCATCACTGCCATTTGAAGATGGATTTGATACCAAAACTCATCATTAACAGACCATAAATAGTAATTATTTTAGATGCCATCAGCAAGAACAGGAAATAGGAATTTGATTTGAACATTTTTTAAATGAACAGCAGCAATACTAAACTCCTTGTTTTTTTCCTGAAATAATGCATGAACAAGACTAGTTAAATCATATGGAGATAAGTTCCCCTTTCAAAATCTAGAAGTCATAAATAATTATCTGTATTGGCAACTTTCATTAGTTTCAGCGTTTAAAGGCTGGCAGCACAGGACACATCTCTGCTTTATTCAGTGTGCTGTTCAGTATTTTGCAAGTTAGTATTTTAAAAAGGATATTAATGTGTTCAGAAGTATCTTTCTTATGTCAATATATAATGCATCTTAAACCTTCCTTTTTCATTACAAAAATGTTTGAACTGTCATCATCAGACTAGTGATTAGTCATCATCAGACTATGCAAGCTGAGCTGTGCTTTCAGCCCCTTCCTTTTTATGCTCTTCCTCTCATTTCAGCTGTTTGCAGCCTTCAGATTTGACAAAGCATGATGGAAACCTAAAGGCTTTGGTGACCTTTCACTTCACTTTGGCCAATTCTACATTAAGATCCAGGCATCTGCACTGAGCAGTGCAGAAGGACTGGTTCTCTGAGTCTAAAGTGAAAGGGTAAAATTAAGATCCCATCAAATATGAATTGAGTATTGCTACTCAGATTTTTAGCCTGAGATGTTGCAATGCACTATGATCCTGCTGTGGTTGAACTTACAATGGAGGTAAGCATCTTCTCTGCTTCACCCTTTAGGATAACCAGGCTACAATATTTCCAGAAGTGAGGAGAACTAACAAATGTTTCTTTTTGCTGCAGAGTAATCCCATGTCTTGATGAGAAATGCCATGTTATTTTCCTATTGGGTTGCCATGAAAATTGACAGAATAGAGTACATAGAGTACAACATAGACAGAAGTGATTGGAAAGACTTGGCACTGTGAAAAGCTACTGTGACATCCCATGAATTTGATGAATGATGGCGTCAAGAAGATACTTGGGTCCTCATCTGCATTGGTATATTTGGGTATTTTCTTTGGCAAGACAGACCAGTGCTCTGCAAGTGTGCAGCAATTAGCTGAGGGCATGTGATACAGCCTTTTTTAAATCAGAAGCTCTTCAGTTTTGCTCATCAGTTTTACCTACAGATGATTGTTGGGATGGACTAACAGCTGTAGTAATTATCCCTCTATAAATCTATAGATGTATAAATAGCAGGAACACTGAAGTCTGAAATGTGAATCCAATGATTGGTAGTAAAGAAAATAATCTTATGTTAAAGTATTTTTTTCCAAAATGATTGAATAAGTAAAGCAAGATTAATGATCACTGAAGTTTTAGCCGATTAAAGTCAATTGTTGAGATGGATGGAAATAAAGCAGTGGTAATTTTATAATTAAGTAAAGAAGTGAAACAAATTGAGGTGCCTTTGCAAGGGTGTAAGTTAAGGAACTAGGTGATAAAAATGGCCTTAATACATAACTTTTTTTATAAAATAAAAAAAAAAATATTGCTGTAGACCACTTTTGATACATAATTTATACTGCAAAGTACCTGCAAAGGCTTATGTGGTTTCTGGCCTGTAGGAAAGAATTTATTCTCTTCTAAAAAGCCTAATACATAAAAACTGAGCCATACTGCTCTCCTACAATGAAATTCTATACCATTTCCAGTGGAGAAAAAAAGCTTTAGTGAATGCTGGAACAGCTGGCAAAGAAACTATAAAGAGTGATTATAAAAATATTAAATCAGGAGAGGACCACCTTCTAGTATATAGCCAAGCCTTTTGTACTAATCTGAAAATGAAATATATTTTGCCTTACCAGCCTATCCAAACTTGTGCCAGCAGCAGTTGTAGGTCTCTCCTCTGGGATATATGGTCTAAACCGAGTATTGAAGTTTTCAGGGACAGAACGGGAAGATCTCAGGGCAGGTGCTGGTTTAGGTTGGCCACATCCTTGGAAAACCTGAAAAAAGACATTCTTGGTTATATGTTTGTCAAATGAGAATCATAAAAAAGGAAAGCTGGAATTTTGTAGTCTCTTTATTCTTTTTTTGTATTCTCGAAACAAGACTTGATTGACGTTTTTATACTACTGAATTGAGTGCTTGGCCTGCATTAAAACTCAGGTTAATAATTTAGAATTATTAATCACTTGGTGAGAGTATGGAAACATAGAGGGACCTTAAAGCCCCCTTAATTTAAGAAGGTGATTAGTATGAGAAATTAACATCTGAAAGCATCTTAATTGCTGTCTTTCCAGGAAGAAAAATACACAAAAGGATGTCCTTTGTGGCAGGACATAGTTGATAACTGTTTTCAGTTTTGTTAAAATGCAGTATTTACCCAGAATCACAGGTCATCCATAATCCCTACCTACAGCTCTTTGTACCTTGCAATCTTATTTGTAGTCTTAGAGAAAAGGTCAATGATGAAATAGCTTTGTAACTTGGATAACTTTCTTATTCCCTACCAATCTCTCCCTAGAAAGTGAGGTAGACTGACTGGGCAACAGAGATAATTATTTTCTGCTAGTGTGTTTGTTTTCTGGGTATAGAAAATAACACTTGCAGTTATTAAACTTTTCATATACTTCCATCTGGAAAAACGTTTCAGTGTTGTGTATCTGGTAGGTACTAAAGGACACAGAGGACACTTTTGACTACTGGATATCAAGCATATTTCCCAAAGGCATTTTTGCACAAACTGAACATCCGAAAAGAGGTAGAAAATCCACTGAGTTAAAATTTTGAAGTGCTCTCATGAAGTAGAATCCTAGTGTTTGCCTTCACACCAAATTTTCCAGTTTTAGAATCACACTCCTGTTTTTGTGACTGTTTCAACATTTTCCTCCATTCAAAAGAATTGAATGTCAGAATTTCTCATAAGATATATAATACAAAATCCTAATGCCATACACAGACTGTTTGAATGATCTTTGCGGGGGTGATAACTATATAAATGCTGTGTTTTGGTTCTAGGACCAAATGACTCCTTTTTGTGTGGCTAGGACTGCATCCCGTGGAAGAGTGACCCAAGTCCAAGGTGCAACTTCTGTTTCTTTCAGGGTACATTAAATTGGCTCTCAGGTTTCCTGATGTTAATTTAGAGGCCCCAGATGATTCAAAATTTGCTGAAAGAAGCTGATTAATACTAAATATATGTCCAGTCATCAGGTCTGCTTTGGCTCAAAGTCCAGCAAGTCAGCTGTTGTATGGCCATTGGGATTTTTAATTTATGAGTGGAATACTGTTTGGTCTGGTTTGAGAATATCTGTTTTAAGAGTTTCAAGCCTCCCTAGTCCTGAGGACTATTGGACAATGAATTAATTCAATCAACCAAGAAAATTGATTTTAGCTTGTAAAACTCTAAACCTTTTGTCAGGAAAGAATCTTGTTTTTCCTTTGTAAAGAAAATTCAACTAAGATTAATATTCAAGATTTATACATGATTGTGTAGGATACAGTATAATTTAAAGGGTGAAATCTATATGTTAAGAGCATGAATTATACTTACAAAAGTTTACTTAATTTTCTTCTGACTCAAGATAAGTTATGCACTGAAAACATAATTATTTATTTAGATATCTATAAAATCCCATTTACTCAATTAAGCAACTGAGTATTTGCTTATGAAACAGCTGACAATTATACAAAACATACAACTAGATTCTCAGGAGAAAGGAAAGTGAGTCAATGTCTCCTTAAAAGTCCCAGTGTGTGATTGTTAAGCTACTTGTACGGCCATGTGGTGCAACTGCAACTCTACATAATTTATATTACATCTTATGATGTACTGAAAAAAAAACCCAGCAGAGACTTTGTGGCATTTATCTTCATACAAATAGTTTCAGCAAGTGGTTTTACACAAACAAATTTACATACAGTCAGACAATAATAAAGATGGAAACTAGACAGTAATATTTACATGACAGAAAAAGAAATAACTTGTTTTTTAAATGACCTAACAGAAAGCAGTAAGGATACAATATTCAGTAACTGAATTTTGAGTCAAAAGAGACATTTTAAAATTTGCATCCTGGTATTAAATGACAGAACACAAAATGTAAAGATGATAACTGATATTAACAAAGGCTTCCCAAGAAGAAGCACATGAAATACTCTCTTTACAATGCTACTCAGAGGTATTGAACAATTTCTGGAAAAATACTCAGGTGTTTCATTACACATTCTGTGAATTGGTAGCATAAACCCACTCCCTAAAAACGTGTATTTTATATATAATTGGTGCAGTCCATTTCATCTGAATTTAGAGAATAGATTCCATTTGAAATTAAGAAAGCTAAATTTAGTTGTCATCGTGTATGCGTCTACATTTAAGCTGTACATCTAAGTCAGGGGAGATTAAAATCTTTCTTCTGTTTCTCTCTCATCAGCATCTACAGCTGTTTGGGATGTTCTGGGATATCTGAGATGCCTGTTAAGGTTTTATAACACAAAACGATTCCTGGCTGAACTGCTGTTAAAGCTCAAATGGACCAAATCTCTATGGTCAGGGGTACGAACCAAGCCGTGAGAACAAGTCAACAGAGCTAGTGAAGAATTAAGTCTCTTGAGCTGAGTAAATGGAAGTATCTACTTCAGGACTAGGATGTAGATACTGTAGAAAAAAGAGCCCTTTTCCCAGGAGAATTTGACGTTTTGAATTTTTGTGGAAGACGTAGTCTGTTCTCTTGGGTCATACTGTTATTTAGCCACGTGCTAGTGCTCAATGTTTCCAGTTGAGTGTCTCTATATGATTCTGCTCCATTGACTCTTCAGATAGAACAGCATTGATTTTTTTACCTGAAATGCCATTATATCTTTCCTGCACAGAGCTCTGGAAAGAACACAGATAAATGAAGAGGTTTTCTTAGTATGAAACTTGTGGACTATTTTAAGAAAAACCTTGGATGTAGTTCTGTGAAGATATCCTCCTTATAAATAATGCATATGTAGTGTGCTATGTCATGGAACTCATTCATCCATTTAGCTGAAGTAATTGCTGAGGAAGAACATATATTTATAGGTTAAAATGGCACATCCATCAACTCAGATAAAAGCAGATTAAAGACTTACTAAGGGGAAACTCAGTTACGGGATAGACTGTATGAAAGTGGAAAAATATGGTCATGGCAGCCAAATGACTCTTCCAGCAGTCTAACATACTTGTATAGGACCAGACCATTGCAGAAAATAGTTCAATATGTTGTGTTTTGTGCAGCAATGGAGACGTGATTATGCTGATGCAACCAGATTAGTAAATTTCTCCATTGTGAAAAAAAATGGATGTTGTAACATCTTTTGTGCTGCTTTTTGAGTTTTCCTGCACTTGTGAATGAGAAATCTCTATCAACTAGGTATGAACTAATAAACATTCATGTTTTTAAAATGGAGCAGATGTAGCATTTACTTTTTGTCTTGAAGCAGGAACCGAAGGTGTTGGTACTGACAGCCTTGTGAGAAAATTGTGAAGGTTCTCAAAACATGCTTGTTTTGGCCAAGATTGAAATGAGCATTTATATGTTATGACTCTGAATGTGACTACCTGAATTACCGTAGGGAGAATGACAATGAGAATAAGGTAAATGTATGCTAAGACTAAGTCTTGGATATGAGCTGAACCTTGGGAAACAATGCACAAAATGTAAAAATTTTGCCTGAGAAACAATCAACATGTTGCTGAGCACTGAATTTGGCACTATATTGTTCAAATACAAAAAAGGTGTCACTGGAGAATTATAAAGAGATTTCAATAAAGAGGACATCCTGTCTCAGCTATTATAAGCAGAAATCCAAGGTAAATCTACTGCACCATGACTTTTGCCAGAGGCAACCTTCAGGGAACATTACTCTAGTCTGGGTAGACCCAGCCTGCAAGGCCTATTCTTAAAAGGTACTGATGTCTTTGGGAGGCATCTCAGGCAGCCCAGGCTGATTGTTTTGCACTCTCTGTGATGTGGTCTGTGGAAGGTACTCTGTAAAAATGGCTGCAGGTGCTAGATGATGAATTTATGGAAACTGGTTTTGATGATCAGCAGTCCTTGTCTTCTCTTGGAGAAAGGAAAGTTTGGGCATATTCAGAGCATATAGATCCTTCCAGCAGAAAGGCCTTGGGCCTTGGAGTGTGACTTTCTATACTGCTGCTCTTTTTTGACAAGCATCTCCAATTGTCACAGCTGTCAGGAATGGGACTTTCCCTGGGGCAAAATAAGAACCTTGTGTGGCTGTCATTAAGGGACATGACAGGCGTGCAAGGTGAGCAGCCAAGAAGCCTAGAGATTTGTGGTCAGACTTCCTGGACAGGCAGTGCTGAATATAAACTGCTGAGAAATACCAAGAAAACAGAGAAAGATTACAGCCTCAGCAAGAATTGGAGGTTTTTAACATAAGACTAGCATATGTTTAATGTGAACTGTGCTAGAAGAATCGACCATAATCATCACACAAACAAGAAAAGCTAATGGTCTAGGAACAGAGATGCTCCATTTAATGCAGTGAGAGATACTGGAATATGTCTGAGTCTGAATGTCCTTGGTCAGTAGGACAAAGATTGAAGAGGTACATGTGGTATCTCTTTAATTCTCTGTCTCTGTATTGATGTACAGTTATCAAAAGAGGAAGACAGAGGGTTTGTGCCTTCTAAGGAAATGAAAGACAAGAAGTGAACTCAAGCAATAAGCCTTGACTTTCTGCACTGATTAATTGTTAAGTCATTGCCTTTTCCTTGGACTTTTGGAATAGGGCAATTTTATATAACTATTTGAAACAGGAGCACTGTTTGGATTAAATAAGCTCTGGGTCTTCTGCCTACAAAGAGGATAAAGCAAGTGAGAACTCCTTGAGGAAGAAACCTTTTGTTTTCATTTTTTCCACTGCTTTTAAAAGAAAAAACATTATATAACATGGCTGAAAATTCTACTGAATACAGCATAGAGTCTTCTCCCAGACATCAACCAGGTTTTTAGATAGAAAAGTCTGCATGTCAGCGGTGAAAAACAATCTACATGTATGTGGGTGTTGCAGGCATTATATTATTAGTGCATCACCATTTTTCCACTGTAAGAAGGCACTGACTGACTTGTGGAAAAATACCTATGATTCCTAGTCACCACATTTTTCAGTAGGTACAGTCGAATAAAAGGTACAAAATGGTCTGAAGAATGAGAAAACAGAAAAGATCATGATTCAAACACTCTGCTTGAAGCATTGAGTGGCATCTCAGATTAATTGACAAGAGAGGCTTTTCTCCTACATTAGGTTTGCAGTTGCATTCCATGCACCCCACTACATCTGGTGAGGGGTCTGTCATTTCCACTGAAGGTCTAAGTGGTCAATATGTATAAGGGGGAAAAATTAGATGACAGAGGATGGATCAAAGTCTGCTTGTATATCATCTCTGCAAGTCTGACCTGGCACAGAAGAGGACAGCACTATACCCAAAGCCTTTGCCTTTTTATAAAAGGGTAAAGCATTTCCATGTTACATGAAAAAAGATGGCTGTAACCTAGGAGATCAAGGAAATCACATGTCACGAGAATAATGGTTTACAGAGAATATACAAAGGTCCATCAAGGATAGACAGCTCTGTTATCTGTGAAAATAGAATGAAATAAATTTTGCAGATATAATTTCTTTTCTGTTCTACAAGATTAAAAAAATATTATCTAAAGTTTCTCTTAGAGGTAAAACTATTGCATTGCAAATGGCATTATTAATCTTTACAGCAAATAAAATACTTGTGGGGGACAGGAGAAACAGTCTGCTCGGCTATGAACAAGTAGTGAAATGAGCTCATACCAAAACATCATTGGACTCTGGCAGGGGATGCAGCTTTCCAGCAAATGGAAAAACTGTGAAAACCAAAATACAAAAAGTAAAAAGTAAAAAGTAAAAAGTAAGAAGGAAAACAAAATACACCTGGGCCTGGGGTGAGTTTTAAGCGAAAATATTTTTTGTTTCTTTTTTGAGGTAAGGGCTGAGTTTACTGAAGCTAACCTTTAATTCCCAAAATATTGAAGAGAATCTGGCTGTTAAACACCTTGATCACTGGTGCCAGAATAAAGTCTCATCCTGCAGGATGTAGACTGCTTTTAAAATCCAAGGAACGTCATGTAGGTTGAAAGTAAAAGGCATATTGAAGAAATTTCTTAGCAACCTGCAGCACTGGGGCCATAAAAAGTGTCTAATTTTGGGCTGACAGGAAGAATGTAAACCTCAGGCTTCTGCTTTTTGTCCCCACTTTTTTTTCCCCTGCTACAGCAGCTTCCTTCCAGTCAATGGAAAATCACTGACTTAGATGGCAGTCTGGCCAGCACCTGACTGACTACTGGGAGTTAAATGGGAGATAGAAGCTCCTAATGCAGACAGCTTGGCAAACTTGACTTTAGAATTTCAGCCACAGTGCACTGATGAATATTAAGGCAAAGCCATTAATTGTTGACTATTGGCTCAACAGCATCTGCTACTGAATTTGAAGGATCTTATTAACAGGGGGTTCAGAGGTGGTGGTGACCTGTGTATACACACACACATTAAAAATGGAAAGGAGGCAGCCGGTATCATTAGCTCAGTTTATCTTTGTGTCAGAATCCAGACAAAACTCTATCAAACTGAGGTCTGGTAATCAGAGACCGGCCAATGTAGCATTTCCCTAGAGTGGCTATTAAAGGAGGTCAAATGAAACATTTTGTGTATTCACCTCAAACACATTGTGCTCAGTCTGACCTAGATAAATCAAAATGTGTTTGGAAGTTAATATGGAGAATCACAGATGAGACACGAGTGGAAGTTACCAAGTATACTCTGCAGGATAATGCTTATAGAGTTACCATTGGTTTTCAGAACACTCGATTTTCCTTAAATCTCTTACGGCTTTTACTTTGAAGTTTAATAAATGGTAGCGTTCTCCCTTCCACTTCCTTTTGAAAAATCCAAGCTTGTTTAACTAGTTTAACGAGGAATTCAAAGCCAGTCTGGTGAACGGTTGAACAAGCAAAAGTAATTTCTGGTGGTCTGGACAATCTTTCTTAAAGTCTAGACAGAAAAATTGGTGGAGATGTTTTTCCCCCCACTTGTGACATTCAACAACATTCAGAGAAGGCACGACTGACACAGTACCTTTGCTGACACCTGCATGCTGTTCTCTTGCATGTTCATGATGGCTTCAGAAATCTTGACATCAATAGGATCCATGACTGATTCAATGTTGAATGGTCCCTCTAATCTCTCCGCTACCAGAAGCATAGCATCTGTTAAAACACAAAGCAGCCATGCCCTTAAAGAAGGGATACCTTTGGGTTCCTCAGGCAGACCAGCACTGCCAGCGTAGGTGTGGATACTGAGCACTCCTCAGCAGGAGTCTGGGGAGATGTGTGGCAGCAGCACTGTGAAGTCTGCAGGGCAGCTTCCCAGCTGTCAAAAATACCTTCCCCTACTGCTGCCACCACAGAAAGAGGAATAAAGACTTTAAAAGTTAGATTAATATTAGTTACCATAACACTATCGAGCTTGGGGTAAAATTATTTTACACAGCTTCTCGAAGCAGCCAGTGCTTTTGGAGTGTACTTGTGTAATCTCCTTCCCAAGAAAAAGCAGGATGATAGAAATGAATCCTTGGGGTATGTTCTTAGAATTTGTGTGAGATGATGAAAATTTTTATATGACCTATTAGGGTGTTATAATTAAAGCAGATGTTCTTTCTGACCTTAATGATCTCATTTTCTTGCAATATGAACAGCAGATGAATATAGGATTTCTGCCATAGTATATAGGTATAAACTGTGTTTGCCTTGCTACATTTTCAAAACATGGCTGTAAATTGTATGTAGAAACATATAGTGTTTCAATGTTTTGGATTAATACAAAAAAAGTTTTCTTAACTTCCAAAAGAGCTCCTCTGCAAAATAATTTAATCTTTTGATGTTTATTAACAATAGAAAACCAAGCAATTGGACAGAAATTCATGGCAATAGAAAAGGTTTTGACATGAATCAGATATATTTGTCTATACACAGACACAAATTTATCGTAATTTATGTGGCAATAGCCATGTGATAAACTGGATTTACAGTATATCCTTTGAACAGCATATGAACAGGATCCTTGTCTCCTATGTTAGATTTAAAGTTTTCAGCAACTAATTAGCTTTAAGCAGCAGATACTTGTAATCTTAACACAATAAACATCTTCACACGCTGTCTTCTTTATATGCCAGACTTAAGCTCCAGAAAGTACCAAGCAGATTTCCTTCTGAAACAGACCCATGCCTGCTTTGCTGTTTTAAGCACCAGTCCCACAGCAGCTGTGTGGAGAAGGCATGGAGTTCTCCATACATCTGAGAGCAGTGCTTGTTAGCTTTACACTTGGCTGCAAGTCACAGAGGTTTATTCCAAGATGGACATCTTCTCCTTCCCCATAAAAGCACAAGTGCATGGAGGTATGGGAAAAAGGGGCTGGTGTCTCACTCTAGCAGTTTAGACAAACACCTCCCTGCACAGCCTCACCCAAGGACTGCATTAAGTTTTTTATATGCTGTCAGTGCATACCCAGAAATCCCACTGAAACTGGAATTGCTTGGCATGTAGCACCAAAGCGTTTTTGCAAATTTACATCTAATATTTCACAGTCCTTTTAGGCTGGAAAGGGTAATGCCAGTTATTTGGAGTGAGGTGTAAAGCACTTGTTGCTAACTGTGAGAAATGGACAGATGACAGGAAATTGGTTCCAAGCAGAGGTGTGACTTTTCCTGCACCTTATTTTAAAATTCTGCAGTTTATAGCCTTTCCAGTGGGAAGTGGTGAAAACAGGAACTACCTCTGATAGAGAAAACAGTTTTCATACACACAAAGACACACACATACATACACACATGCACACACACAGATTACAGCAATGTTTGCAGTTTTTCCAAATGCAAAAAAAAAAAAAAATTACAAAGAGAACTTTTAAGTGTCAATTCCTATTAAGTATTTTCTTCCTCATGTTCAGAATGACTTGTATAAAACATTTATGATCTAGTACTTGTTATAGCACAGGTCGTGGTGGCTGGATTTTAGTAGTTTACTTCAGGAATAGGGTTAAGATTAGGGTTACTGCATAAAACAGTCAAAAGGTAGCTCTAGGAGATGCAAACGAAAAATCTGTTCCTGGCTTAAACAGTTTGTATCTATAGAAAGATAACCTTTAGCTAATCAGCTTCTATTTTCTGAACCTTAAGTTTAGTCATAGATTTAGTCTTTATATATATATATAATCTGTATCTATCTATATAATATATCTATCTATATCTATATCTATATCATCTGTATCTACATCTATATCCAGATCTAGATCTAGATCTAGATCTTGATCTATTTATTAGTCATTGTTAAGGAAGAGGGCAAAGGTTGGGGAATGCGGATAATTCCTGGCTGCCAAAGGTGATCTTTTTGTTATGTTGAGTTTTTTCTTTCATATTGTATGGTATAGGTCTGATGATGCTTTCAAAGCTGGGGTTCAAGTTAGGTTAGAGGCAAGTTTATATTTCAATCACATGGGCTATAGCTTTAAGTTATTGCTCTACATAAAGGAAAGGAAGAAAAAAAGAGAAAATAAAAGAAAACAAGAGAGAAAATCAAACAGTAAATCCCTGCTTGTCCATATTCTTTAATTTCTGTCTCCTCTGGCTTGGAATGAATATTCATAACTTAAGTCTGTGGAGCAGTGAGAGGCTATAAGCCCACAGTGACATTTGACATTAAAGCCTTGTGATCTTTTATTTAATTGGATCTTAAGGATCCTGGGGAGCAAGGGGTTAAGGGAAAAATATAATTTGAAATATCCACACCTTTATTGATGACAGGTACATCTTTATATCAGCAGTTTGTATTTTTTTTGGGGGGGGTTAGGATGTGACATAGGACTAATGCTGAACTAATGCCTCTACAGGGATATATTTGAAGAGGAAGAGTCTGAGAAACGGATTAAATGCTGTGACAAGAGATGCTTGAAGGGCTGAAGTAAAGCAGGTTCCTCCTTCAACATTATTTCTGAGGCTGACACAAGTTGTGCTTCCAGTTAATGCTCATTTTAGGGATCAGCCCAGACTAGAAGTCTTGGACAATTGCACAGTTCAGATGAGTTCTCGCATGAATGGAAAATAAATGTTTGAGGACTCATTTTTACCTTAGTTCCAGCAGCTTTGTGGGGCTATGGCTGACTTAGCAGTGACCAGGCTGCTGGGTTATTCTTGTCTCCTTCTGGTAGGAGTACTACAAGCTCAGTCTAGCAAAAGAGGATGAACAAGTGGCACTTCTATGAATGCCAAAATTATTTTCTTAGCCTCTGTCTGACTGGGTGCTTCCTTCTACCTTTTTTCTAACCATTATGCTGTTCCTGACTAAATCAACATATCCAGATGATACCTGACAGCCACAGACTGAAAGAAGCCTGGAAGAACAAGGCAGTCTTATTATTGTGGATGTTCAGGCCCCTTGCGAACAAACTCACTTCTGTATTTAACTAGCTTGATACTATAAATTTTTTGAGTTAGGCCTCAGGTTTAAATTAAGACTGAATTTTTCATCCATAACATTGATTTCTAGGAAGAAACACTGTACAGTGTTTAAAGGGAATTGCTGTCTTGGAAAATATTTCCTCAGGTCATTAGGTGGAATTCTGTTTTTTGCCAACCCTAACTCTCACTACAGCGATAAACTTTATTATTCACTTGTACCCTTCCATATGAGCACATACATACCAGCTACCCTGTGCAATTGAGTGAAATGGAAGCTGTTAGGTTGAATACAGTGAAAATCAGATGAAATGTAATAAGCTGAGATTTATGACAGGACAGTCAAAATGTTGTAATGGTCCTCACCAGACTGTAGCTCTTCAAATCTCTAATTGTGTAATTGTGTATTGACAAACACAGCACTGCTGCCCCAAGTCCTTTTTTTCCCTTCTAAACATGTTGTGAATATTATTACATAAGAAACTGGAAAGATTTCAATATGAAGTTCAGAAAATCTAGATGCTTTAGTCTTGAAATCCTAATTCTCAAGAACAGACCCTTGAACGGACAAAAGCCTGGTTGAGTTCAGTGTAAATCTGAGTGGGCTTAATAATTTCTCAATCACCTCAAATAGTAGATATTTGGAACTTAATCATTGTTTGTGCTATTAAAAAATCTGAAAACTGGGTGATTGACTCACTTGTTTTTTCATGCTGCTAATATACTTGGACTGTGTTGTTCAATTACATATGTTCTTGATTTTTCCTCTTTTGTATATTTCCAAATCTGCTTTCTTAGGTTCAGTATGTGTTCTTCATGTACTACAGCATCTGGAAAAAAGCTGGCTGAGGTGAGTGGATCAGGAACTTTAGATAAGTCATTCTTGTGCTGTGGGTTTGTCAGGGACTTGGAAACAATAGCTGTGACTAATTGCTCACTTGAGGACACAGGCTTGCCAATGGCCCTGAGAAAGTGCAGAGCATATGGTACACCAGGGTCACCATCAGTGCTGCTGCTCTCAGCCTCTCCTGGATGCTGAAAACAGGAGTGGGGACCTTCCTGATGCAGTAACTCCCACAAAATCTACTGAAGGCCTAGGGTGTGGTCCAAGGGCCCCCAGCGTGTCTGCCAGCTGAGCACAGCAGCTCTCTTTAACTGCTTTATATTCTGTTTTCCATATCAAGAAAAACCACAGGTATTTGTCAGTGGCTTTTAGAAGGACCTTGTTTCATTTTAAGCAGTATTTAAGAAAGAGATCCTGAAGAAGTTTTTGGTTTGCTTTATAGGTTGTTTTTCTTTTCAGTTTCATAGGTGCCATTTTAATGAGAAACACAGGAGAAAACTGATCATCATGCTAAGTGATTTATTGTATAACTTAAGCATTCAGAAGACCAGGTGTACATTTCAAGATATGGAAATACTTTATGAGCCCTAGGTGTCCACAGGCAAAGTAATGGATAGACTAACAATACAAATAGACAAGAATCTGCCTCTGTTTCCTTGGAAATGCATTAAGCCACCCTCCTATAATCTTGATACCAAAAGTGATGTGTTCTTGTTTGTGTTATATTTCTTTCAGTGCAGTTTCCCAGAAAACTTCCTAGTGAATTCCAGATTGAAGTAAAAGGAGCAGGGAAAATGAAACTGATGTATCAGACTTCTGACAAGTTATAACCCCCTCTAAACTAGGCTGAAATACAAAGTTCTGGCAAGAACCATCAGTGCCTCCTTTTTCTTGCTCTCTTTCTATCATCCAGA